GTCGATGTCATTCAAACAAAAAAAAAATCGTTTAAGTATCTAAAAGGTTTTGTCTGTCCAGAAAGATCCATTCATTGATTAAAAAAAAAAAAAAATTGATAACGATAATAGTCACGTGTGTTTGTTTATAGTCTGATTTCCGTTTATTTTGAATGTTTGTTGTTGTTGTTTTGTTAAGTTACTTCCAGTGTTTTTTCCGTTAAAAAAAATGTGAAACATTCTTTAATTTTTCCAACATTTAAAACAACCATAATCGTCATCATAATTATCATTATTGGTAAAATTTTTTTTTCCATTTTTTCAAACTTTCTTTAGCTGTTTATATTGATTTATTTCAACTCGTAAAAAATTGGGAGAAGGAGGGGGAGGGGGAAAGAGAAAAAAAATGATAAAATTTCCTACGTAAGGGAAAAAAATTTTTTTATATTTTTTTGCTAAAATCCGGAAAACAATCAAATTGAATGAATAAATTTTTTTAACGCACACCCACGCTCACACGCGCACACCCACATACCGGAAAATGTATTTTTTTTCTTTCTTCCGTTTTTTTGCAATTTTTTTTTTTTTTAAAAACAATTTTCGCACCGTTTGGGATTTTGAATATTATATAAAAAATAAAATTTTGTTTAAATATTTTTTTATGCTCGAATGAATGAATTACAAGACGAGGTAAAAGAGGGAAAAAAATCTAATCGAAATAAATGTCAACAACCTAATAAACAAATCATGTTTCTTTTTTTTTTTTTTGTCAAAAACAAAAAATGTTTTATTATTATTATTATTAAATAAAAACGACAGATTTTTTTATAAATTTTGGAAAATCAAATTTTTTTTTTTTTCATACCATAAGTTGAAATTTTATGTATTTTTTTGGGGGGCGGGGAGGGGAGGGAACTGTTTAGCATAAGTTTTCTCAAAAATTTTTTTTTTTGGGTCAATTTTTTGTTTTTTCAATCGACGATTGATAAAAAATAAATTTTTTTTTAGGCGCGATTTCATTTTTTTTCTCCCTCAAAAAGAAAATGAATTAAAACAAAAATTTTTTTTTGTCAATAAAAAAATAATCGAATGTTAATCAAATAAAAAAAATAACCGTTAAAAAAATATTTGGTCAATTATATGAAGAACGAAAAAAAATTAATTGTTGTAAAGAAAAAAAATAAAATAATTGCTAGTTTCGGTACTGTTTCCCGTATTATTTGCATTTTATGAACGAAAAAAAAAGAGAGAAAGAAATTGTTTAAAATAACAAACAGCAGATGATGTTAAACCAAAAATTTTAATAATGTGACAACATTTTCATTCTTTTTTTTCTAACCGAAATTTTTTTTTTGTATTATATCGAACCCAAAAAAATTTTCTTTTTTTTTTTTTTTAATATAAATTTCAAAATCAAACAATAAAAAAAAAGGCGGGAAAAGAATAATAATAATAATAAAAAGTTTAAAATGCTTTTAAGGTTTAAAATTTTAATTAAAAAAATTATTTAAAATTATATTTTTTCCCCTTCCTCCCTTCCCTCTCTCTCTCTCTAGCATTAATTAATTATTATTAATTTTTTTTCCCCCTCTTTCTTCTTATTATAAAAAACCTAATAATAATAATAATGATAATGATAATAATAATAAAAAGAAAAGTCTGGAAAAAAAAGAAAAGAAAAAAAAAATTTCCCACGTTTTGTTTTAAAAAAAAAATGATGATAATAATAATTTGTCTCGGAGAAAATCGTGTTTTATGCTTGTTTAAGTTTAAAAAAAAGAAATTTTTAATTTAATGACGTCATTAAATAAATATATACTCGTTTAATAATAATAATAATAATCGTTTAAAATGAAAAAAGGGGGGTTTTTTTTGGGGACTGCCACGTCGTAAAAAAAAAAAAAAGCTCTCGTTAGTAAATAAAAAAAAAATTTTTTTTTTTTTTTTTTTACTCTTTCTGGATAAATTCCAGGAGCCGAATTTTTTTTTTTCATTCTCTCCATTTTTAAATTTAACAGTAAAGTAAAAAAAAAAAAATTTTTTTTTATCTGTTGGCAACATTGCAAATTTAAAAAAAAAATTTTTTTTGTCGGTTTTAAAACGAAATTAATCGTCGATGAGAATTTTTTTATTTTGTTTGTTTCGTTACTTTTATGAAAAACCCTTTAAAGCAATTAAATTTTTTTGTCTTTTTTACTTTCTCACCTGGTCTCATCTCATCTGACCTTTTTTTTTGTTTTAATAGATTTTCCTCCTCCTCCTTTTCCTCATATAAAAAAAAGAAAACAACAAAAAAAAATGTCAATTGTTTATTTCACCGTCAAATAATCGTACAAATAATATCCTATAAATGATATTAAAAAAAATAAAATTGTTTTAGGTTATGTTATACATTTATATTTATAGCGCTATAATTTTTTTTTCCTTTTTTTCTCCCACCCCTTTTTTCCTACTTGATACAGCTATAAAATCATTTTATTAGACTTTTAAATTTTTTCCAAATGACAAATTGCCTTTTAACTTTTCTCTCTCTCTCTCTCTCTCTCTTTTTATACCACTTAGAGTATTTAAACTTTTTTGTTTTTTTTTTTTTTTTTTTTTATTGTTACAGCGCTAAACTTTCGATAAAATTTTTTTTCATTTTTTTTTTATTTTTGCAAAAAGTAAATTCGTTGATGAAAATCAAAATGGTGGCACGACAAGTTTTAATTTTTTTTTTAAACTTAATTTTTTAATTTAAAAAATTCAGCAGTTCGATTATTTTAAACGAACGACATCTTGTTATAAAAAAAAAAAAACAAAACAAAATTTTTATTTAACAAAAAATTGTCTTTTATGTATTATTTCTTTATTTAAAAGTTTTAATAATATTATTATTATTTAAGCCGTTTAAAGGCTCAAAATTTAAACTATTAGAAGGATTTCACCTTCTCTCTTTCTCTTTCCCTCTCTCTTGTCTCTCTCTGTCTCTCTCTCTCTCTCTCTCTCTCTCGTTAACTTTTTTATTAACTGAATAATGTAATTATTCGATTTCCGGACTTTATTTTCCTTTAAATTATCTATAAGATAAAGAAGATACAAAAATAAATTTTTTATAAATTATTAATACATGATCTCCCCTTTTAAAATTTTGTCCTTTTCACAAAAAAAAAGAAAAAAGGAAAAAAAGGAAAAAAAATGGAAAAAAAAAAGAGTCCTAGAGTAAAATTGGAAAATGTCATTCACAGATGGTGTCGGCGGCCATGAGTAAAAATAAAATTTAAAACGTGATTAATTATTATCATTATTATTATTATTATTATTATTATTGTTGTTTTTATTAATTTCATTAAATAATTTTAATGATGATGATAATAATAATAATTATTTTGTTATATCAATTTAAAAAAAAAAAAAAAATTTAAAGAGAGAAAAAAGAAATAAAAATGATATAAAACCGTTGAAAATGAAAAGAACGTGGCATTAAATTTTTTTTTTTTTCGGAAAATTCAAAGAGTTAAAAAAAAAATTTTTTCCCCTTCCTTCCCTCCTCCTCTTCTGCCCTCCCTCCATTCACGTTACGACCCCCTTTTATCATCCGTCGTCGCATTAAACGCATTAAAATGAGAAAATATTCGGATGCCGTCTTTTTTTTTTCAACCTTTCCAGTTTTTTTTTTTTTTTACACTTTCATCTTTTCTCCAGGTTAATAACAACTTTTTCTTTCTTTCCTTTTTTGATTCTTCGTTTTATCTTTTTCCCTTTTTTTTTTTAAACAAAAATAAAATTAAAATAAAATAAAATCGACGAAAAAGCTTTTCGCGTCGTCGACGTCATCGGATGGACTTCTTTTTCTTCTTTCATTTTTCTTTTTTCCTTTTTTTTTTTTTTTTTCTCCATTAAAACATAAAAAAGAAAAAAAAAAGAAGCGGGATATAAATTAGATAACGGAGAAGATATCTTTTTTTTTTGTTTAAAAAGAAAAAAAAAATTTATTAAGTAAGTTCAAGAAAGAAAAATATCTAAATTATCTTAGATAATAGGTTTTCACACGGTGTGATAACAAATTATATATATTTATTTACTTTTTTTTTTTTCTTCTTCCTTACCCTTTATATATAAAATTAGAGACATTCTAACTCGTCACTAAAATTATCTTATTACGTTTGGTATTATTATTATTATTATTATCGTTAATATATATTCCATTGATGATATTTGATTTTTCGGTGACGAGGATTCTTGTCTTTGAATGGCTGCCGTATTGTCACCTGATAACAACAACAAAATCAATTAATTATTATTATGATTTTTCTTCTTTTTCTTCTTCTTACACCGCCATTTTTTTTTTTTTTTCATATTATAAAATTCGATTCGATTAAATGTGTGTTTGTTCACGTGTACGTACCTTTTGTAACAAATACGTAAATTGTATCGGCTTCTGTATTTGATGCTCGACACGTGTAATTTCCACTGTCGCTTAAAGAAGCGCTGTTTATGATGAGCCTGCTGTGAGTTTTCAAACCGGGTTCGGTGCTCACTGTTATACCACCTCTTGTCGTGTCGTAATTTATCATTCTTTCGTTGTGATACCAGAAGACGTACTGGGGAGGAGAAGGACTCTAAACAAAACAAAACAAAACCGTTTTAAT